AGAATCCCCTCACTGATTACACTGTAAATGATAATCTACCTTAACCAAAATCAAAGTAGACTATCACTCACCCACACCAGATGGAAAACTCTCTAGACTGTCGGTTCACACCCCATCACAAGCCAGCAAAACATCCACGAAACAAAGAAAGGTCTGTCACAGCCAAAAAATACACTCCAGACCAGTGCTAAGAACCCGGTAGGACAGGGGGGTCCTCCCCCAACCGGAACCGGACCGGTCCTACCGGCCGGTCAACCGGGCCGGTTCCCCCCCGGTTGGCTGTTTAAGCCCATGGTGTTGTTGAGGCCAAGGACTAGACCCAAAGTGATTGCTGGCAGCGGCAGCCGGTGGTTGTCCTGACAGGATAGGCCACCTTCCCTACCCTTCCCCACGTTAATGCTCCCAGCGCACCCCCTATCCCTACTATCCTACCTCAGTGTCAGGACCATCGCCCTGCGAGTATCGAGGGCAGTCACCAGACAGCAGTGACAAGCACCCCCTAACACTATAACCCCCACCCTTCTTTTGAAAGTTTTTGGGTGGGAAGCACCGTCCCTACCCTGCCACTAACACCCCAGTGTGACCAGCACTCAGGACCATCACCCTACCAGAATCGAGGGCAACTTGGACGAAGCACCCCCTAACACTACAACCCCTACCCCCCTTTTCAAAGTTTTCGGGTGGGAAGTACCGTCCCTACCCTGCCACTAACACCCCCATCCCCCTCTTCAAAGTTCTTGGGCAGAACGTCAACGTTTGCAGAAAGCCAGGTACGTTGTTGTCAATGTCTGCTGAAGCCCGTGCTGAAACTCCACCACTAACACCCTCACCATAAACCCCCCAACGCCCGACCCTCAACCCCTGAAATACCCCCCCCCAACCCCTGCAACCCCCCAAACGAAACTTCTTTGTTCAAAGTTTTCTTTGCGGATTCAGGGAGATCTCGGTAAGCGCAGTCCAACCATGTTTTCACCGGGGGTCCAACCGGCCCGGTTGGATCCGGGCCGGTCCAACCGGCCGATTGCCGGCACAGCCATGCTCCAGACACGCCGCTGGCACTAGAGGCACATCATGGCCGCCTAGTATATATATTTCTGGGCGGTTTTTGGCCCGCCCCTTCGGGCCCAACCGGATGGGCTCAGCCGTGCGGCGTCCTTACTCAGT